CTGTGGATTGAGACAAGTACACACTATAGAGGGATATGCATTGTTCAAATTTCATGTCTGAGGTCTACAACCACTTTAAGTGCCTTTTCTATGACATCTCTGGTATATCCCCAGTCTATATGTTTGTGTTACATTCCATCAGTTTGTAATACACAATATTTTTCTTCAGAGCAAATGTGAAATTTCTGCATGAAATGGGATACTGACAAGTTACCCACTAGATGTCTCAGATGTGCACTTGAATAATGAAGGAATGTGTTACCTGTGAGTTTGTAAGTAAACTTGTGAATTTTCCATTTTCCTGGAAGAACACCTCCATATCCAAAAATGTGATGTTAGAAAGAGAAACTTCTGAGAAAAAAATGTTATGGTAGGGAAAACACAAATTGAGAAAGCAAGGTCTTTAAACTCCTCTACATTGGGTCTCCACACCACAGAACTATTACCAATATACCTTAGGTATGCTTGTCTATGGCTGAGATATAACGGGGAAAAATAAATGTACTTTTCTTCAAGAAACACAAATGAACGAATGAAGGGATTTGTAAAAGAAGGGAGAAGCCAAACTGGCCAAGACAGGACCACTGATTTGTCTAAATATAGTTTCAAATTTGGAGATGTTTTCATGAGTGAGAAATACCATCTCATTTGTCAAAGTCCTACAAGACAGTGACAAGTTGATATAACAACAGATGTGCTGGGGGATGCTGGGAAATAGTGTGAGAGTATTCTGACCATTTATGTTCTCTCTTCTAGAATGTTAAACAACCCTTTGTCAAAGGAAGCAATAAGAGAACTAAAAAATCTGAGTGACCTCTGGCCAGGACTGGAAGTTTCCTATGATGACCCAGAAGAAGACACTCTGCTGGATGACGAGAATGAGATTTAAAAACCCCAATCTGACCCAAAAGGAAAATTAATCATTACAGATGAACCAGGACAGAATGGGGCGGAATTTTGATTTCTATTGAAGGGTTTAAAGGGATATTCCACTCCAAGTGAACCAGGGAACATAGCCATCCTGGTGATTGGTTCTAATTGTCAACCTAGCCCTAATCTAACACAGCTGTCACTAAACCCATATGGCTGTTAGCATTCTGAATAGAATCTTGTCTAAATGTTTTGCTAGCAACCCCAGCTTTCTCAAGGGATGAGCAACCAATGTTACAAGGGCAAAGTTAACTTCTGGCTGTGGACCAAATGATGGCACCTTCATGATTCTAAGTATACTGTGGACTAACCAGCCTTCCCACACCAACTCAACGTTGGGCACTTGAATGAATCCCTGCAGAAGAGCTCAGAACTATGTTTGTATGAAGCTGTGTGCTGGAGGAATACCATACAGGAGGGACTCTTCAGAAGTTGTTTGAGCCCCAAAGCTGCACAATCGGCAGACCCCTTGAAGAGTGTCAGGTGGTCCTCCAACATGGGATTGCACAGAAACTTGTGATCACACAGTCTCTTGGGTTCATTTACTTACAGCATATGGGATGTTCACTTTGCAAGGGAATTTTCCAAATGGTTTCATCAATACGGTAAAATTTCACTTTGCAAAGAATACCCAAGCATGGAAACCAAAAAAAAAATCAGCATTTTTCTTGCACATGATTAGATGATGGAAGTCAGCAGAGCTTCACATCATTCACTAAGCTTTGGTGAATGATTTCCATTGAAAGTGCAAAGTGAACGGTTTCTATTTGCCTTTAGCAAATCAACCCCTAAGTATTCAACCCTACATCAGGAGCAGGAGTCACAAGTTTAGTTGCTGCAAGGCTGTGAGATGTTGTATATTTTAAAGGCCATGTTCGCCTTTAAGAAAAAATGGAAATATTTTTACACAAACAAAATGTTCATTTATTATTTCTCTCGCGGGAGTATGCAAAGATCAGGCTCCTGTAAACTCTTCCCCAGCTCTCTGCTTCTACCTCCATAATGGTTTTTCAGTTGGAGAGCTGGAAGAAGTGTTAATGGACTGCCACAGTGGCATATGACAATTGTTTATTCATTCACAGATCTCTGTGAATGAAAGACATGGCTCTGTGAGTGGAACCCTGCACAGAGGTGCCAATTTTAAAAGTGAGAACATCTGCAAGGTAGAGAAAGATAAGCCCAAAGCAAAAAAAACAGGTGAAGGGCTACATGACAAGGGGGACAGGGTTAAGCTATAGTTGATCAGAAAAGATGGTCACTTACCAGATTGGGAGTTTCAGAGAGTAGGTGGAGCTGCTGGGGGGGAGAGGGGGGTACACAAGGAGAAGGCTAAATGGTTAGCACTTCCGCCTGGCAGTACTCGGGTCGTTGGTTCGAATCCCAACCACGGCACCACCTGCCTGGAGTTTGCATGTTCTCCCTGTGCCTGCGTGGGTTTCCTCCAGGTATTCCGGTTTCCTCGCACACTCCAAAGACATGCTGGTAGGTGAATTGGATCCTGTCTAAATTGGCCCTAGTATGTGTATGTATGAACGTCTGTTAGGGACCTTTGATTGTACGCCCCTTGAGGGTTAGGGACTGATGTGAATGTACAATATATATATATATGTAAAAGCGCTGCGTAAATTGACGGCGCTATATAAGTACCTGAAATAAATAAATATATAAGATCCCAAGCGGCAAAATCCTTGGGAGCAGTGTAGGAATCTTCCAGCTCTCCCGCCGTTTGTTTGGGCTCTAGGGCCTTTGGTGGTTGGGGTCTCTGGAGGCGTTAACATTTTTGGAACAGTTCATAGCAGTGACCCATCTAAAGTATGGCGTCCTCTGTTAAATCCCAGTTAATGGGGTATTATCTGGGAAGTGGTAACAAGTTGGCATCAGCAAAAAAGTGGGTTTGACCCCGGGTCTGTGTTTTGCAGCTGTGGATCTTGAAGAAGCAATGCAGATACACAACCTGATGTTGGTTCTCAAGTGCCTCCCAAGACTGGCAACCTGTGTGTAATGGCAATTGGTTTATGTATATGTTTTCTGTTTTAAGGAATGTTATTTTGGTTTATTTGTTAATAAATGGCTAAGTTGGCCAATTTTCTCCAGATCGGGTCTTTGGTCATTTCTTAATTAGTATAAGTTGGGAAGGGTAGCTATGGTGAGATGTAGAAGGACTTGGAGACATATGGGTTACCCTAGTCATGCCCCACATGCAGTTACAGAGGCGCTCAGGAGTTGAAGTGCTTATGAACATGGTACACCTAAATACGGGTGTAAACACATTGCCACAGATGGATTTAACCTTCAAACACCTCAATACTGGACTCTTTCAGCCCCTTCCTTTTTAGGCCAAATTTTCAGATATCAGTGTTCTCACACTTTGAATGACATTTATTCAGTCATGAAACACTGTACACAAAATATAGTTTTATAATTTTTATGAGACAGATAGAGCTTTCTTTTGATGGTATTTAACCACCACTGGACAAATAATCTTTTTTCATACAATTAGGCTAAAATATATTCTGCTATATGTCTTTTGTAAAAATAAACAAAATCAATGTATTTTAGTCTGTGTGAAAGTTATAGAGTCTACAAACTATGGGACATATAGTTGTGCTCAAAAGTTTGCATACCCTTTGAAAATTGGTAATATACAACATGTTTAAAGAAAACATAAGTGAGCAGGCAAAACACATTTCTTTCACTTCTTGAGGGATTCATATTCAACTGTAGGTCATAACAGAATGTTACAATCATAAAAACAAAACATAGAAATAGAAAAAGTAAACAAATGAAATGACTCCTGTTCAAAAGTCTGCATACCCCTAGTTCTTAATACTGTGCATTACCCCCTTTACAAAAGACTGCACACTGTCATTGATGCGAATCGTTGTCTATGAGGCCCAAAATTCTTGCAGGTGGTATAGCCCATTCGTCTTGGCAAAATGCCTTCAGGTCATGCAAAGTCTTTTGGTCTGCGTGTATGAACTGCACGTTTGAGATCTCCCCAGTGGCTTGATGATATTAATAGAGATGAGCGAAGTATTCAAAAATTCGATTCGACTGATTCGGCGAATTCGTGGAAAAATTTTGTTTCAAGTCGAATATATTCGCTGCGAATTTAACTTATAAAAGGGTGTTTCTAGGCTTCAGAGAGCCTTTATATTAGTGCTGAACACTGTACCTTTAATTTAAATGCCCTTGGAGTCTGCTGGGGAAGAGAAATAATACTGACAGTCAGTATGACATGCAGATGAGTGCCGTCGATCTTAGAATCACCGCACACTTCACTCATTTGGGCAGTCACGGGGCCAAAACCAGAGTGTGGAGCCACAGTGTGGCGGTGGAGGCAGCAGCAATGGGAGGCCATACAGCACCCTATGACAAAAATGGAAACCACCAGCAGTGTGAGGAGACCTGAAAGTGGCACATGGCAGAGTGTGGCGATGGAGACAGCAGCAATGGGAGGCCGTACAGGGACCCATGACACACTCTGGACCTGGCAGCAGCATGAGGAGGCGGTACAGGGGCCCATGACAGATTACGGGCCTGGCAGCAGCATGAGGAGTTGGTACGGGGGCCCATGGCAGATTACGGGCCTGGCAGCAGCATGAGGAGTCGGTACGGGGGCCCATGACACACTCTGGACCTGGCAGCAGCATGAGGAGGCGGTACAGGGGCCCATGACAGATTACGGGCCTGGCAGCAGCAGGAGGAGTCGGTACGGGGGCCCATGACACACTCTGGACCTGGCAGCAGCATGAGGAGGCGGTACAGGGGCGCATGACAGATTACGAGCCTGGCAGCAGCAACTTGGACAGGAGGACGTTCAGATTCTGCACCGTCAGGTGCGTGCTCGCAAACTGTTGTCTCTTGGAAACGGATTCCAAGAAAGACTGCTGACGGAATCCGTGAAGAGGAGTAGCAGGAGAAGGAGCATCTGAACGAGCGGAATATGCCTACAAGCGACAACAGGGGCCCATGACAGATTAGGGGCCTGGCAGCAGGATGAGGAGTCGGTACGGGGGCCCATGGCAGATTAGGGGCCTGGCAGCAGCAATGGGAGGTCCGTAATCTGCCAGAACCCTATGACAAAAAATGGAACACACCAGCAGTGTGTGAGAAGACCTGAAAGTGGCACATGGCAGAGTGTGGCGATGGAGACAGCAGCAATGGGAGGCCGTACAGGGACCCATGAGAGACTCTGGACCTGGCAGCAGCATGAGGAGGCGGTACAGGGGCCCATGGCAGATTAGGGGCCTGGCAGCAGCTATGGGAGGCCCGTAATCTGCCAGCACCCTATGACAAAAAATGGAACACACCAGCAGTGTGAGGAGACCTGAAAGTGGCACATGGCAGAGTGTGGCGATGGAGACAGCAGCAATGGGAGGCCGTACAGGGACCCATGAGAGACTCTGGACCTGGCAGCAGCATGAGGAGGCTTTACAGGGGCCCATGGCAGATTACGGGCCTGGCAGCAGCAATGGGAGGCCCGTAATCTGCCAGCACCCTATGACAAAAAATGTAACACACCAGCAGTGTGAGGAGACCTGAAAGTGGCACATGGCAGAGTGTGGCGATGGAGACAGCAGCAATGGGAGGCGGTTCAGGGACCCATGAGACACTGTGGACCTGGCAGAAGCATGAGGAGGCGGTACAGGGGCCCATGGCAGATTAAGGCCTGGCAGCAGCAATGGGAGGCCCGTAATCTGCCAGCACCCTATGACAAAATGGAACCCTGGGCTGGGGCAGGCAGAACCGCCGTATCTTTATCACGGTTTTCCCAGGCCACCGAATGGCGACGCTGCATATGCTGATGCAACGCTGTAGTCCCAACATGGGCCCCCTGGCCACGCTTGACTTTCTGGCCACATAGTCGACATACGGCTATGTTTACTTCCTCGGGCGGCTTGACGAAAAATTGCCACACCGCCGAGTAGGAAACTTTGCCCCCGCTACTCCTCACTGGCTGACTGCTACTTCCTCCGTCCACACACCGGCACCACTACTGGCCGTGGTGGTAGGCTGCAGTGGAGCTGGTGCTCTACTCCGTGGCCGTTTGCCTCCACTGACACTGCTGCGACCCTGCTGCCTCCTGGCAGCAGCAATGGGAGGCCGTACAGGGACCCATGACACACTCTGGACCTGGCAGCAGCATGAAGAGGCGGTACAGGGGCCCATGGCAGATTACGGGCCTGGCAGCAGCAATGGGAGGCCCGTAATCTGCCAGCACCCTATGACAAAAAATGTAACACACCAGCAGTGTGAGGAGACCTGAAAGTGGCACATGGCAGAGTGTGGCGATGGAGACAGCAGCAATGGGAGGCCGTACAGGGACCCATGAGAGACTCTGGACCTGGCAGCAGCATGAGGAGGCGGTACAGGGGCCCATGACAGATTAGGGGCCTGGCAGCAGCAATGGGAGGCCCGTAATCTGCCAGCACCCTATGACAAAAAATTGAACACACCAGCAGTGTGAGGAGACCTGAAAGTGGCACATGGCATGAGACACTGTGGACCTGGCAGCAGCATGAGGAGGCCGTACAGGGGCCCATGGCAGATTGGGCCTGGCAGCAGCATGGGAGGCCCATGTAATCTGCCAGCACCCCATGGCAGATGACCTGGCAAAAATGGAACAATCACCAGCAAGTGGAACACACCAGCAGTGCCTGAGGAGACCTGAAAGTGGCACATGGCAGAGTGTGGCGATGGAGACAGCAGCAATGGGAGGCCGTACAGGGACCCATGAGAGACTCTGGACCTGGCAGCAGCATGAGGAGGCGGTACAGGGGCCCATGGCAGATTAGGGGCCTGGCAGCAGCAATGGGAGACCCGTAATCTGCCAGCACCCTATGACAAAAAATGGAACACACCACCAGCAGTGTGTGAGGAGGAGAAAGTGGCACATGGCAGGATGGAGACAGCATGCAGGAGACCCATGAGAGGACCTGGCAGCAGCAGCATGAGAGGCGGTACAGGGGCCCATGGCAGATTAGGGGCCTGGCAGCAGCAATGGGAGGCCCGTAATCTGCCAGCACCCTATGACAAAAAATGGAACACACCAGCAGTGTGTGAGGAGACCTGAAAGTGGCACATGGCAGAGTGTGGCGATGGAGACAGCAGCAATGGGAGGCCGTACAGGGACCCATGAGAGACTCTGGACCTGGCAGCAGCATGAGGAGGCGGTACAGGGGGCCCATGGCAGATTAGGGGCCTGGCAGCAGCAGCTATGGGAGGCCCGTAATCTGCCAGCACCCTATGACAAAAAATGGAACACACCAGCAGTGTGTGAGGAGACCTGAAAGTGGCACATGGCAGAGTGTGGCGATGGAGACAGCAGCAATGGGAGGCCGTACAGGGACCCATGAGAGACTCTGGACCTGGCAGCAGCATGAGGAGGCGGTACAGGGGCCCATGGCAGATTAGGGGCCTGGCAGCAGCAGCTATGGGAGGCCCGTAATCTGCCAGCACCCTATGACAAAAAATGGAACACACCAGCAGTGTGTGAGGACCTGAAAGTGGCACATGGCAGAGTGTGGCGATGGAGACAGCAGCAATGGGAGGCCGTACAGGGACCCATGAGAGACTCTGGACCTGGCAGCAGCATGAGGAGGCGGTACAGGGGCCCATGGCAGATTAGGGGCCTGGCAGCAGCTATGGGAGGCCCGTAATCTGCCAGCACCCTATGACAAAAAATTGAACACACCAGCAGTGTGAGGAGACCTGAAAGTGGCACATGGCAGAGTGTGGCGATGGAGACAGCAGCAATGAGGAGGCAGGGGCCCATGGCAGATTGGGGCCTGGCAGCAGCTATGGGAGGCCCGTAATCTGCCAGCACCCTATGACAAAAAGGAAATCACCCCAGCACCAAGCAGCAGCATGGATGGAGACCGTACAGGGCCCATGAGAGACTGTGGACCTGGCAGCAGCATGAGGAGGCGGTACTGGGGGCCCATGGCAGATTAGGGCCTGGCAGCAGCAATGGGAGGCCCGTAATCTGCCAGCACCCTATGACAAAAAATGGAACACACCAGCAGTGTGTGAGGAGACCTGAAAGTGGCACATGGCAGAGTGTGGCGATGGAGACAGCAGCAATGGGAGGCCGTACAGGGACCCATGAGAGACTCTGGACCTGGCAGCAGCATGAGGAGGCGGTACAGGGGCCCATGGCAGATTAGGGGCCTGGCAGCAGCAATGGGAGGCCCGTAATCTGCCAGCACCCTATGACAAAAAAATGGAACACACCAGCAGTGTGAGGAGACCTGAAAGTGGCACATGGCAGAGTGGCATGAGACACAGCAATGGGACCTGGCAGCAGCATGAGGAGGCGGTACAGGGGCCCATGGCAGATTAGGGGCCTGGCAGCAGCTATGGGGGCCCGTAATCTGCCAGCACCCTATGACAAAAAATGGAACACACCCTGGTTCAGAGCAGTGTGTGAGGAGACCTGAAAGTGGCACATGGCAGAGTGTGGCGATGGAGACAGCAGCAATGGGAGGCCGTACAGGGACCCATGAGAGACTCTGGACCTGGCAGCAGCATGAGGAGGCGGTACAGGGGCCCATGGCAGATTAGGGGCCTGGCAGCAGCAATATGGGAGGCCCGTAATCTGCCAGCACCCTATGACAAAAAATTGAACACACCAGCAGTGTGTGAGGAGACCTGAAAGTGGCACATGGCAGAGTGTGGCGATGGAGACAGCAGCAATGGAGGCCGTACAGGGACCCATGAGAGACATCTGGACCTGGCAGCAGCATGAGGAGGCGGTACAGGGGCCCATGGCAGATTAGGGGCCTGGCAGCAGCTATGGGAGGCCCGTAATCTGCCAGCACCCTATGACAAAAAATGGAACACACCAGCAGTGTGTGAGGAGACCTGAAAGTGGCACATGGCAGAGTGTGGCGATGGAGACAGCAGCAATGGGAGGCCGTACAGGGACCCATGAGAGACTCTGGACCTGGCAGCAGCATGAGGAGGCGGTACTAGGGGCCCATGGCAGATTAGGGGCCTGGCAGCAGCTATGGGAGGCCCGTAATCTGCCAGCACCCTATGACAAAAAATGGAACACACCAGCAGTGTGTGAGGAGAGACCTGAAAGTGGCACATGGCAGAGTGTGGCGATGGAGACAGCAGCAATGGGAGGCCGTACAGGGACCCATGAGAGACTCTGGACCTGGCAGCAGCATGAGGAGGCGGTACTAGGGGCCCATGGCAGATTAGGGGCTGGCAGCAGCAATGGGAGGCCCGTAATCTGCCAGCACCCTATGACAAAAAATGGAACACACCAGCAGTGTGTGAGGAGACCTGAAAGTGTGCACATGGCAGAGTGTGGCGATGGAGACAGCAGCAATGGGAGGCCGTACAGGGACCCATGAGAGACTCTGGACCTGGCAGCAGCATGAGGAGGCGGTACAGGGGCCCATGGCAGATTAGGGGCCTGGCAGCAGCTATGGGAGGCCCGTAATCTGCCAGCACCCTATGACAAAAAAATTGGAACACACCAGCAGTGTGAGGAGACCTGAAAGTGGCACATGGCAGAGTGTGGCGATGGAGACAGCAGCAATGGGAGGCCGTACAGGGACCCATGAGAGACTCTGGACCTGGCAGCAGCATGAGGAGGCGGTACTAGGGGCCCATGGCAGATTACGGGCCTGGCAGCAGCAATGGGAGGCCCGTAATCTGCCAGCACCCTATGACAAAAAATGGAACACACCAGCAGTGTGAGGAGACCTGAAAGTGGCACATGGCAGAGTGTGGCGATGGAGACAGCAGCAATGGGAGGCCGTACAGGGACCCATGAGAGACTCTGGACCTGGCAGCAGCATGAGGAGGCGGTACAGGGGCCCATGGCAGATTAGGGGCCTGGCAGCAGCAATGGGAGGCCCGTAATCTGCCAGCACCCTATGACAAAAAATGGAACACACCAGCAGTGTGAGGAGACCTGAAAGTGGCACATGGCAGAGTGTGGCGATGAGACACACAATGGGAGGCCGTACAGGACCTGGGCAGCAGCATGAGAGGCGGTACAGGGGCCCATGGCAGATAAGGGGCCCTGGCAGCAGCTATGGGAGGCCCGTAATCTGCCAGCACCCTATGACAAAAAATGGAACACACCAGCAGTGTGTGAGGAGACCTGAAAGTGGCACATGGCAGAGTGTGGCGATGGAGACAGCAGCAATGGGAGGCCGTACAGGGACCCATGAGAGACTCTGGACCTGGCAGCAGCATGAGGAGGCGGTATAGGGGGCCCATGGCAGATTAGGGGCCTGGCAGCAGCTATGGGAGGCCCGTAATCTGCCAGCACCCTATGACAAAAAATGGAACACACCAGCAGTGTGAGGAGACCTGAAAGTGGCACATGTTTGGGGCATGATTCATGGCGGATTTAGTCAGTTGTGTCAGGAACTGGTGGTTTGAAATCCAGACTAATCCACGCCTGATTCATTTTCACAAACGTGAGTCTCTCCACACTTTGGGTGGACAGTCGTGTCCTCCGCGCGAGTTACAATACCTCCTGCCCGCACTAAACACGCGCGCTCCGATGCCACGCTACTGGCCGGGCATGACAGCCTTTCAAGGGCAAATTCAGCTAGTTGGGGCCAAAGGTCAAGTTTCGTTGCCCAGTAGTCAAGGGGATTGTCTACCTCGGTTGGCAGGGTGCTGTCCAAGTAGGCCCAAGCCTGTTGTTTGAGGTCCTGCTCCAGGTCCACCTGATGCTGCTGCTGCTGCTGCTGCGGCTGGTTAGTAGTTTCCTCACTGCGCTGGTGAAGAAAGCTACTCATCATCGACTGCAGACTGAGGCAGCCCGCTGCTGGTGGAGCTGCCACTGCTCCTACCACCCCACCCCCCTCCCCTGCTGCCATGGCAGCGGAACGCGAGCGCACAGGGCCCACAGTGTCTGAGGATGGACGTTGGCGCACAAAGGCAGAGACCAACTGACTACATAGGTGGTTTTTATAGTACGTTATTTTGGCCTCCCTCTCAGCAGGTGTGAAAAAAGGCCACCATTTTTGAACGGTAGCGAGGGTCCAACAAGGTGGACAGCCAAAAGTCATCCCTCTGTCTGATGGTTATTATTCGGCTGTCGCTACGCAAGCAACCGAGCATGCTATGGGCCATTTGTGCCAAGGAATGCGAGGGACTCCCTGCCTCCATCTCCACAGCATACTGCCACGGTGCGTCTGGGTCCTCTGTCTCCTCCTCCTCCTCCTCTACCAGATGCTCCTGCTCCTCCACTCCTGTCCGCTGAGTGGAAAAACACCCATTTCACTCAATAATTCCTGAGCACAAATGTCCTCCTCTACCTCCTCCTCTTCTTCCTGTCCTGCCCCCACAGGGGTCATGTGGCGTTGAGATCTGTGCGCCACGTCTACCGCACCCTGACCAGCCATTGTTAACAGCATTTGTTCCAGGACGTGCAACAGAGGAATGACGTCGTTCATCCCATAGTCCTGCCGACTCACGAATAGCGTGGCCTCCTCAAAGGGCCTGAGCAAGCGGCAGGTGTCACGCATGAGCTGCCAATGGCTGACATCGAAGTTACACAGGGGAGTACCTTTATCCGCTTTTGTAACATCAGGAAATCGGTGATGGCCTTTCGCTGCTCGTAAAGGCGGTCTAACATGTGTAGGGTTGAATTCCACCTTGTTGCAACGTCGCAGATCAGGCGATGATGTGGAATTCCGTTCTGCCCGCTGCAGCTCAAGGAGGGGTGTGCTTTGCGGTGTAGGTGTAGGAATGGCTGAAATGCATGCAAAGTTTACGTGACATTTTAAGGATGTCTTGCAGTGGGATGGTGGATTTTAGGAACCGCTTGACAACCAGATTGAACACGTGAGCCATGCATGGCGCATGGCACAACCTTCCTTGACGCAGAGCAGACACCATGTTCTTTCCGTTGTCGGTCAACATGGTTCCGATTTTCAGTTTGCGCGGAGACAGCCATCTGTCGATTTCTCTGTTCATTACACTCAGAAGTTCCTCCCCTGTGTGACTACGTTCGCCAAGGCATACCAGGTGCAGAACAGCGTGACACCGTTGCGCCCTGCACATGTGATATGCCGGTCGGGTAATGGGACTTGGCACGGGGGTGGCGGGCTGAGGACACGGCGGAAGAAGAGGTGGTAGAGGCGGACATCTTTGCCGGACCAAGGACGTGCAAACGTGGAGGCAAAAGCGGCGTGACCTGTCCAAGTTGCTGGTGCGGCTGTGACGGCACCACGTTCACCCAGTGGGCCGTAAATGACATGTACTGTCCCTGACCGTAGTTACAGCTCCACACGTCGGCGCTGCCGTGCACTTTGGCAGAGACCGACATGCTCAAAGACTGGCCCACCATCTTCTACATGTGAATGCAGGGCTGGCACTGCCTTTTTGGCGAAGAAATGACGGCTTGGCACACTCTCCACCGCGGCGCGGCACAAGCCATCATTTCTCTGAAAGGTGCTGAGTCCACCACTTGGAAAGGGAGGGACTGCAGCACCACAGCAACTTGGACAGGAGGACGTTCAGCTTTTGCACCGTCGGGTGCGTGCTCGCAAACTGTTGTCTCTTGGAAACGGATTCCAAGAAAGACTGCTGACGGAATCCGTGAAGAGGGAGTAGCAGGAGAAGGAGCATCTGAACGAGCGGAAGATGCCAACGAGCGACAACTCCCCTCAGCAGAGGTGTTGGAGCCTTGACTGGCTGATGGAGGGCGATTGACGTCGGGTGACGGAGCAAGTAACGGAGCGGGTGATGGAGCGGGGGGGCTGGGGCGGGCAGAACCGCCGTATCTTTATCACACGTTTTTTCCCAGGCCACCAAATGGCGACGCTGCATATGCTGCCGCAACGCTGTAGTCCCAACATGGGCCCCCTGGCCACGCTTGACTTTCTGGCCACATAGTCGACATACGGCTACGTTTACTTCCTCGGGCGGCTTGACGAAAAATTGCCACACCGCCGAGTAGGAACTTTGCCCCCCGATACTCCTCACTGGCTGACTGCTGCTTCCTCCGTGCACACCGGCACCACTACTGGCCGTGGTGGTAGGCTGCAGTGGAGCTGGTGCTCTACTCCGTGGCCGTTTGGCTCCACTGACACTGCTTCCACTGACACTGCTGCGACCCTGCTGCTGTCTCCTGGGGGCAACCCACCGACTGTTTCGCTCGCTGCCAAGCTGCCACCCTCTTCTCCTGATGATGCGGAAGAAATTGCCTGATGACGACGAGGCTGCCAAGTGCGATCAACCTCCTCATCATCAAGTAGGGTCTCCGCCTCACTACTAGCCCCCCCTCGGCTGCGTCTGGGTCAGGAGACAGACCTGTCTCTAGACCGGCTACCGGCCACTCTCTCCTCGCCACTACTTCTTCGCCTGCCTGGCTGCTGAAAAGGCGGATGTCTCCCCCCGTTCCTGACCGCCCTCTGTTAGCTCTTCCTCACTGTACAGTGGGCTGAGCCCACAGCATGCGATACTTCGCTTGGTGAGGGAACACCAAAGGACAGGGGCAGGTAGAGGACACGTGATTTCAGTGGGCTTGGTCCCGGGCCATGCCAACTAACGGTTGTGTCTGACGTACCCACCGACCGTTGGCTGTAGGTGTCAGAGGTGACCTGGGAAGAGGAAGACGACCGAGCCAACCAATCGATGACGGCAGGGTTGTCGGTGGAGACACGACCGCTGGATGACACCGGGAGCACTGGCCTCTGGCTGCGAATAGTGCTGCCTCGACCCCTTCCTCTGCTGCCACGTCTGCTCGCTCCTAAAACATTGCCTCCTCTGCCACTCCTCTGCATGTTGTCTGACATACTCTTTAATTCAACGATTCTGTGTCCCTGAGTAACAATTCTGTGTCCCTGAGTAACAATTCTGTGTGTCTGTCCCTGAGTAACAATTCTGTGGCCCTAAGTAACGGTTCTGTGTCCCTCAGTAACAATTCTGTGTCCCTCAGTAACAATTCTGTGTCTGTCCCTGAGTAACAATTCTGTGGCCCTAAGTAACGTTTCTGTGGCCCTCAGTAACAATTCTGTGTCCCCCTGATTAACGTTTATGTGGCCCTAAGTAACGGTTCTGTGGCCCTCAGTAACAATTCTGTGTCCCTCAGTAACAATTCTGTGTCTGTCCCTGATTAACGTTTACGTGGCCCCTAAGTAACGGTTCTGTGTGGCCTCAGTAACAATTCTGTGTCCCTGATTAACGTTTCTGTGGCCCTAAGTAACGGTTCTGTGGCCCTCAGTAACAATTCTGTGTCCCTGATTAACAATTCTGTGGCCCTAAGTAACGGTTCTGTGGCCCTCAGTAACAATTCTGTGTCCCTCAGTAACAATTCTGTGTCTGTCCCCTGAGTAACGTTTACTGTGGCCCTAAGTAACGGTTCTGTGGCCCTCAGTAACAATTCTGTGTCCCTGATTAACGTTTCTGTGGCCCTAAGTAACGGTTCTGTGGCCCTCAGTAAAAATTCTGTGTCCCTCAAGAAACAATTCTGTGTCTGTCCTGAGTAACAATTCTGTGGCCCTAAGTAACGTTCTGTGGCCCTCAGTAACAATTCTGTGTCCCCCTGATTAACGTTTATGTGGCCCTAAGTAACGGTTCTGTGGCCCTCAGTAACAATTCTGTGTCCCTCAGTAACAATTCTGTGTCTGTCCCTGTAACGTTTACTGTGGCCCTAAGTAATGGTTCTGTGGCCCTCAGTAACAATTCTGTGTCCCCTGATTAACAATTCTGTGGCCCTAAGTAACGGTTCTGTGGCCCTCAGTAAAACAATTCTGTGTCCCTCAAGAAACAATTCTGTGTCTGTCCGTGAGTAACAATTCTGTGGCCCTAAGTAACGGTTCTGTGGCCCTCAGTAACAATTCTGTGTCCCTGATTAACAATTCTGTGGCCCTAAGTAACGGTTCTGTGGCCCTCAGTAACAATTCTGTGTCCCTGATTAACGTTTATGTGGCCCTAAGTCAACGGTTCTGTGGCCCTCAGTAAAAATTCTGTGTCCCTCAGTAACAATTCTGTGTCTGTCCGTGAGTAACAATTCTGTGGCCCTAAGTAACGGTTCTGTGGCCCTCAGTAACAATTCTGTGTCCCTGATAACAATTCTGTGGCCCTAAGTAACGGTTCTGTGGCCCTCAGTAACAATTCTGTGTCCCTGATTAACAATTCTGTGGCACTAAGTAACAATTCTGTGGCCCTCAGTAACAATTCTGTGTGTCCCTGAGTAACAATTCTGTGTCCCTCCGAGTAACAATTCTGTGGCCCTAAGTAACAATTCTGTGGCCCTCAGTAACAATTCTGTGTCCCTGAGTAACAATTCTGTGGCCCTAAGTAACGGTTCTGTGGCCCTCAGTAACAATTCTGTGTCCCTGTGTAACAATTCTGTGTCTGTGCGAGTAACAATTCTGTGGCCCTAAGTAACGGTTCTGTGGCCTCAGTAACAATTCTGTGTCCCTGAGTAACAATTCTGTGTCCCTGAGTAACAATTCTGTGTCTGTGCGAGTAACAATTCTGTGGCCCTAAGTAACAGTTCTGTGGCCCTCAGTAACAATTCTGTGTCCCTGAGTAACAATTCTGTGGCCCTAAGTAACGGTTCTGTGGCCCTCAGTAACAATTCTGTGTCCCTGTGTAACAATTCTGTGTCTGTGCGAGTAACAATTCTGTGGCCCTAAGTAACGGTTCTGTGGCCCTCAGTAACAATTCTGTGTCCCTGTGTAACAATTCTGTGTCTGTGCGAGTAACAATTCTGTGGCCCTAAGTAACAGTTCTGTGGCCCCCCGTAACATTCTGTGTCCCTGAGTAACAATTCTGTGTCTGTGCGAGTAACAATTCTGTGGCCCTAAGTAACAGTTCTGTGGCCCTCAGTAACAATTCTGTGTCCCTGAGTAACAATTCTGTGGCCCTAAGTAACGGTTCTGTGGCCCTCAGTAACAATTCTGTGTCCCTGTGTAACAATTCTGTGTCTGTGCGAGTAACAATTCTGTGGCCCTAAGTAACAGTTCTGTGGCCCTCAGTAACAATTCTGTGTCCCTGAGTAACAATTCTGTGTCTGTGCGAGTAACAATTCTGTGGCCCTAAGTAACAGTTCTGTGGCCCTCAGTAACAATTCTGTGTCTGTCCCTGAGTAACAATTCTGTGGCCCTAACTAAAGTTTCTGTGGCCCTAAGTAACAGTTCTGTGGCCCTCAGTAACAATTCTGTGTCTATCCCTGAGTAACAATTCTGTGGCCCTAACTAAAGTTTCTGTGGCCCTAAGTAACAGTTCTGTGGCCCTCAGTAACAATTCTGTGTCTGTCCCTGAGTAACAATTCTGTGGCCCTAACTAAAGTTTCTGTGGCCCTAAGTAACAATTCTCTGGCACTCAGTAACAATTCTGTCTGTCCCTGAGTAACAATTCTGTGGCCCTAATAACGTTTCTGTGGCCCTAAGTAACAGTTCTGTGGCCCTCAGTAACAATTCTGTGTCTGTCCCTGAGTAACAATTCTGTGGCCCTAACTAGCGTTTCTTTGTCCCTAAGTAACGATTCTGTGGCCCTCATAAACAATTCTGTGTCCCTGAGTAATGGTTCTCTGTCCCTAAGTAACGTTTCTCTGTCCCCAAGTATCGTTTCTGTGGCCCTAACTCTGTCCCTAATACAGAGCGGTCTGCCTCTGTTCATTGACTGGAGGCAAATGAAGAATTCCAAAATGGCCGCTATTTATAGCTCGACCATTACACAGTGCTGGCTGGCTGGCTGCTGATTGGCTGATGCGATCACATGTCATTGAGGAATGCATTATGGGTCAGCGCGCCTTGTCTGCGCGCCTTCCCAGACATCCCCGCTCCGTCGCCGCACATGTCCGCCGCCATTTTCGGAAAAATTTCGAAATTTTTTCCGATATTCGACTCGAATTCCACTTCGGCTACTTCGATTCGCTCATCTCTAACAGTGTCCTTTGTCTTGTTTAAAACCAAGCTCTGGCTAATCACCCCTGCGGTGAAGAAATCCTTATCAGGCATTTGGTCCTGTATGGGAATTTGTGATGTATAATTCAGACTTAACTCATTCATGGCTGGACAATGGCACATATTAATATAAATTATCTCCTTTTCAGTTTTTTTTTTAATCTGAGTCATAAAAATATTTTACATTATATTTTTAGATATCCAAAAAAAGCACAAACAACATCTGATGGAGAAGACTGAGACTCTATTGGAACATAGACCCCCAGGAACTACCCTGGATCCACAAAGATTCCTCATCAATGAGCGTTATGTGAATCTTATTGTAGTATCCACTGATCAGTTCAGGCAGCGTCTTCAGAATGAGCTAATACAGACTGGGGTAAAACATGAGGAATGCTTGAAGAAAACACAAACTGGACTGGAACACATTTCCCCCAACAGGCTGTTGAGATGGAGCCGTCAGTCACAATGTGTACCACATACAGTAATGGTGAGTGGAGTACCAGGAATAGGGAAGACCACACTGATGCAGAAGTTTGTCTATGACTGGGTAAACGGAAAACACTACCAGAGATTTGTATTTGTCTTCTTATTCAGATTCCGGGGCCTTAATAGATTGGGAGAGGTCAACTTAGAGGAGATGATTCTTCAACAATATCCACATCTGGAGAGTCATATTGGAAATATTTTACAAGATCCTGAGAGACTTCTGTTTATATTTGATGGCTTAGATGAGAGTATTCAGCAAATAGATTTCAGATCAAGTAAACTGTTTAATCCAAAACAAAGAACAGAGATTGGTGAGATTGTGGTCAGTTTGGTGAGGCAGAATCTTCTTAAGGGTTGCTCTGTACTGATAACCAGCCGTCCAACCAGACTGGCATCAGTTGATACTGGTGTTTTCCAGAGAATAGCTGAGATCATGGGATTTCTCCATGAAGACAGATTGACCTTCTACAAAAATTTTTTTGGAAATGAGGAATTGTCAAAAAAGGCTTTTCATTATGTGCAGGAGAATGACACACTGTACACTTTCTGTTATATCCCATCATACTGCTGGATCATTTGTACAGTGTTATCGATGTGCTTCAGAGCCCAACCAACAAACACTGATCAGCTGATGGCATCATTACCCAAAACAGTGACACAACTCTTTGTGACTTTTGTCTCCAACATTCTGGCCAATCATAGCCAGAATAAAGATGGTGGTCACACTGCCCGGGAACTGCTGACGTCTATTGGGTGGATGGCAGAACATGGAGCCATGAATCACATGATTGTATTTGATGAGCGTCACCTGGACTCATTCAGTGTGAGAAATGATAAACATCTCTTTTCATGTTTCCTGATGGAATCTGGTCAGCCTCCTGATGTGGATTACACCTTCTTACATCTCACTCTTCAGGAGTTTTGTGCTGCTTTGGTTCATTTTATTACCTATAATCCTGACAGATTACAGGAAACACTTGATAAGGCTGAATCTTACAAAGATGGCCGTGCTGAAATATTTCTCCGTTTCCTCTGCGGTCTCTCAGACTCTACTACTAGATCCATATTAAAGTCTTATGTGGGAGAATTGTCTACTCAGGCTTCCAGACATGTCATCACCTGGATCCAGGAGAAAATCACAGAACAAAGATCTAATAGATCCACAAGAGACAACAGAGATCTTCTTAATGTATTCTACTATCTCCACGAGACCAGGAATAAGGATCTGGTGTCACAATGTATTGAGTCAAACAAAGTTGACTTTTCTGGCATCCCTCTCAGCCCTCTGGACTGCTCTGTGCTGTCTTTTATTCTTCATTCCTCCAGAGAGACTGAAAAAGTAATTCTTCGTTCATGTAATATACAGAATGAAGGATTGAGGAAGCTCATACCGACTCTACATAACATCAAGAGTTTGATGTAAATATTGCATATAGATAATTATATTTCTGTGTTAAATTGGAAGTGTATAAAGTTTTTTTTAAGGAAACACTTTAGATAATATTTCAGTTTTCAGAAAGAAATGCATTTCTTTGTTACAAAACTAACATTACGGGCACCTAGCATGCTAGCCAGGGTGCTTTAGCAACATATAATCACCATACAAAGAATATCCAAAATAAAAAAGACTTTATAGTCAAAATGTAATATACACCAAAAAAAAAAAAAAAAAAATTTCTGCAAAAGCATACAAAATTAGCAATAGCAACCCACTCCACTCCCTCTCCACTGTAAGGGCTCATTTACACTAGCAGTTGGAGGGTGGTAGGAACACATGGTTGAATGGTTAGTGCTTCCTCCTGGCAGTACTAGGGTCATTGGTTCAAATCCCAGCCATAGCACCACCTCCCTGGAGCTTGCATGTTCTCCCTGTGCCTGTGTGGGTTTCCTCCAGATACTCTGGTTTCCTCCCACACTCCAAAGACATGCTGGTAGGTTAATTGGATCCTGTCTAAATTGGCCCTAGTATGTGTATGTATGAATGTGAGTTAGGGACCTTAGATTGTATGCCCCTTGAGGGGTAGGGACTGAGGTGAATGTACAATATATATTTAAAGTGCTGCATAAACTGACGATATTATATAAGTACCTGAAATAAATAAGAAAATAAAATAAACTTTGCAACTTAAGGGGGAGATAAAAAACAAAGAAAGTCACATACATTGGACAGTACTACTACAGGACACGTCCCATTCAAATAAAGGTTCCACATCCCAACTGCCCCATAACTGTGTGCAATATGCAATATTGTGGAGTAGCATGTACAGTTAAAACAGACAGCAAGGATCCAACATGTTGCTTCCCCACTACCTGCCAAATGCCTCTGAAAAGCTATCTGACCAAAGCCTAATAAATCCTGGATTCCAGTGATGAAAGGATTACCTATATAGCTACTGTTTAAAATATTGTCAATAAATTATTAGAAAAATCAATCCTACTGGAGCTATATTTAAATCATTGTTGTAAAGTAGGACAGTATTCCACTGCATTTGGCGTCATGCGCTCTGTGGCAGAGCCACATTTTCAGGATCAACTTTGTTACTGTGCTACCATTGCACTGCTACCCTATGCAGCACCCCTGTCAATATACCCACAACTCTTTTTATTGCTGCTGTGACCTAGCACCCCTGTTGTTGCCCCTCCATAATCTTACACCTCTGTCACTGCATCCTCCCCATCACCCCTTTCAACACAACCCCCAGTCACCCACCTGTCATCCAGTTCCCTTGCCACTGCACTGACCTTTCAGCTAGCACCTCTGTCACTGCACTTCCCCTTGTTGTCACCTTCCATATGCTCCACTCTCACACTATATAGCTGCTCCCACTATCACCTCCTCACCACCCAAAACCTCTTTCACTTCACCCGCCATCACCTCTGTCACTGCCCACCTTGCCCTTCAACCAGTACTTCTCTTTATTCATATTTAGAGGACATGCTGGGCGTAAGTATAGTAACCTATACTTCAAGTTCTCAGGAACTCAGAACTCTCCTGGGACCATGGGATATTTGGATCAACCACCAGGAGACCCAGGGCAGAAATCTCAAGTTTCCCAGGTGAGTTGACGTGTATACTGACAGACAGTTCCTGCTCCCACCTGCCATCTGGAATATCCACCTCAAAGGACAGCAATGTAAGTATCAAAAGACTGAGAGTGATTTGGAGTTTATAAAGTGATCTAAAATAATTCTAATAAAGAGAAATGAGTTCCATTCATGTTGACCAGTGGTCTCCAAACTGCAGCCGTGTTCTTGCCTTTATCTGGCCCTTGGAGTACTATTCCTCCCACTTACACCAACAATAGGGTAATAATTCCTGCATTGATGTCAACAATGGGGCACACGTCTTCCCACTGACACCAATGATGGGACACTATTCCTTTCACTGACACCAATGATGGGACACTATTCCTCACACTGATTACAACAATAGGGCACTAATCATCTAACACCAATAGTGAGGCACTATTCCTCCCGCTGACACCAATGATGATGTACTATTCCTTCCACGGATACCAATGGTGGGGAACTGTTTATCTTACTGACACCAATGATGGGGCATTATTCATTTCCCTAATACCAAAAATGGAACATTATCTACTCCCGATGGCCACGGTCCACCCCCACCCTCCCAAAGTCTGAAGCATGATAAATTGGCCCTTTGTTTGGAATGTTTGGAGATCCCTAAAGTAGAGAATAGTTACATTCATTCCTAGGGGAGAAATTCATCTTTTTCTGGTAACATTCTTCTCTTCTTCTACAGATTGATTGACAATAACCGGACAGACAGTTCCTGTCCCCACCTGGCATCTGGAATAAGAAATAACCAGACACTGAGGACATTAAACCTGTCTGGCAACAATCTGGAGGGTCCTCATTTTGGTGATCTGATGGCAGCTCTGACAACAAGCCGGATAGAGGAATTAATGTGAGTATAACAGGACTGACTGAGGTAATAATATTTTTAGACAGTTTGACATTTAAATCCTGAGATTAAAAGATGATAATATAATATGGAAAAAAACAACCCTCCTTAAATTGCAAAAACTGATTTTATTGTAATGAGCTATCAGAGCTTTCTGTCATCTGACATGACCATTCACTGTTGAGTGTCAGTGGAACTCCTTTTTGCTACACACATCAAGAAATCAGGGATTTCTCTAATACTGCACATTTTCTGTTCAGTGTCAGAAATCTCCCCATAATAGAATGTTAGAATCATCCCATCCAATCATTAGCAATGCTGATTTCTGTCTGCTGATATGATTAATGCTTCATATATCATCATTCAGTGTTAAAGTAATCTTCATATTACTTATCAGGAGGATTTTACAGCATAATATGAGTCATGTCAGTGGTATTTTGTAGTCATCCTATGTATGGAGGTATCACCCTCACCCTGCAGACAGATTTTCAAGCTCATAAAACAACTATCTAAGTGCCAAAAAATTGAGGGGGATATTTACTAAACCAGGTGCACTTGGCTACCAGGCACAGCTGTACTAGATTCTAATCGGCTTATAAACTTCAACTTGTTCAATTAAGCTTTGACAATAAAACCTGGAAGCCGATTGGTTTCTATGCAAAGCTGCACCAGATTTTGCACTCTCCAGTTTTAGTAAATAGCCCCCTCTGAGTGAACATGTTACATAGTTATTCAGGCTGAAAAAAGACAAAAGTCCATCCAGTTCAAGCATAAAAAAAAAAAAGTTTTAATCCTATACCCACTGTTGATCCAAAGGAAGGAAAAAAAACCCAGCAAAGCATGATCCAATTTGTTCCTGCAGGGGGAAAAAAATCCTTCCTGATCCCCCAAGAGTCAATCGGATATTCCCTGGATCAACCTTACCTATAAATGTTAGTAACCAGTTATATTCTGTATATCCAAGAAAGAATCCAGGTGTTTTTAAAAAGCAATCCACTGAGCTGGCCAGAACCAACTCTTGAGGGGGTCTATGCCACATTTTCTCAGCTCTCACAGTGAAGAAACCTTTCCATGTTTGGAGATTAAATTTCTTTTCCTCCAGACGTAAAGAGTGCCCCCTTGTCCACTGTGATGACCTCAGGATGAATAGCTCTACACTGGAGTTCACTATATGAACCACCGATGTATTTATACATGGAGATCATATCCCCCCTTATGTATTATACATGGAGATCATATCCCCCCTTATGTATTATACATGGAGATCATATCCCCCCTTATGTATTATACATGGAGATCATATCCCCCCTTATGTATTATACATGGAGATCATATCCCCCCCTTATGTATTATACATAGAGATCATATCCCCCCTTATGTATTATACATGGAGATCATATCCCCCCTTATGTATTATACATGGTGATCATATCCCCCTTATGTATTATACATGGTGATCATATCCCCCCTTATGTATTATACATGGAGATCATATCCCCCTTATGTATTATACATGGAGATCATATCCCCCCTTATGTATTATACATGGAGATCATATCCCCCCCTTATGTATTATACATAGAGATCATATCCCCCCTTATGTATTATACATGGAGATCATATCCCCCCTTATGTATTATACATGGAGATCATATCCCCCCTTATGTATTATACATGGAGATCATATCCCCCTTATGTATTATACATAGAGATCATATCCCCCCTTATGTATTATACATGGAGATCATATCCCCCCCTTATGTATTATACATAGAGATCATATCCCCCCCTTATGTATTATACATGGAGATCATATCCCCCCCTTATGTATTATACATAGAGATCATATCCCCCCTTATGTATTATACATGGAGATCATATCCCCCCTTATGTATTATACATGGTGATCATATCCCCCCTTTATTCTCTCGAGAAAAGGAGATTAATTCAGTTCCTCTAATCTTCCCTCATAGCTGAGCTCCTCCATGCATCTTATCAGTTTGGTTTCTCTTCTCTGTACTTTCTCCAGTTTCCCAATGTTCTTTTTGTGAATTGGTGCCCAAAACTGAACTGCATATTCCAGATGAGGTGTTACTAATGATTTGTACAGAGGGAAAATGATGTCTCTCTCTGGAGTCTATACCTCTTAATACAAGAGAGGATTTTGCTCGCTTTAGAAACCACAGCTTGGCATTGCATGTCATTATTAAGCTTCTGATCTACAAGAACCCCCAGATCCTTCTCCACCATTGATTCCCCTAGTTGTACCCCCCCTAGTATGTACAGTATGTTGCATGGATATTCTTAGTCCCCAAGTGCATCAGCTTACATTTATCAACATTAAACCTCATTTGCCACATAGTTGCCCAATTAAACAGTGCATTGAGGTTGGCTTGTAAGTTGAAGACATCCTGTAAGGACGTTATTCCACTGCACAGCTTGGTGTCATCTGCAAAGACTGAAATGAGATTGGTAATCCCAGACCTTATATCGTTTATAAATATATTAAAAAGAAAGGGTCCCAACACTGAACCTTGGGGTACACCATTGACAACCCTAGACCATTCAGAGTATGAATCATTAACCACTGCTCTTTGAATACGATCTTTTAGACAGTTTTCTACCCATTTGCATACAGATTTTTTTCCAAGCTCGTAGACTTTACCTTGTATATTAGCCGTGTGTGGGGAACTGTGTTTTACATGAAGTTTTACAACGTGATCTTATATAAATTATTCCAATGAAGAGAAATTAATTCCATTCATGTAGAATATTATTCATGGGACTGTGATTGAGGCACAACATTACATAAAAAGATTTATTAAACAATAGGTGAAAATCTTGTACATGTATTACTACCCCCTTAGAAGTCGTTGAGTTTTGGGTCCTCCTAAAGTTCTGCACAGTCAGGCAACATGCATTTGTCCACACTTTGCATTCAGAGTCAGTAAACAGTCATTGAGCTTGGTTTTCTGAGTTTATTAAGGGGTTAACAACTTGAATGGTGTCTAGGGATATACAGTATGCCCAAGGGAAGTGTAAACTTGTGGGTAACTTTTCTGCCAACTATGTACAAAATGTGGATAGAAACAGTCTCTCCTTGAAGAGCGCAAAAAAAAAAAACCTCTTTGGTGTACACACCAGATGAATTCTCCTCTTTATCCTGCTGCCTGAAGGTATCCCTGGGCAAATTGGCCAAAGAACTGTAGATTTAGAACAGTCCCAGATGAAGATTAGTTGGGTATTGTACCTGACCACCCTCTACCCTTATCTGGCTCCGGGGGTGTAGGAGTACTCACTCTGTCTTTCCCTGTTTGCTTGGTGGTTGACTTGAGGTCTTATGCTGGGCTGGCTCCTCCTCTGCTTCACAGGGCATCCTCCCATGGAGACAATGGGACAGAGGAGATCTTCTCTTCTAGAATCTTTCCTGCAGGTGGGCTCCCCTCCCAGGCTCCTCACTTCAGCCCATCTTCCACCCGACACTTCACACTTTCCCCCAGGCTCTGCCACATTTAAGGGTTGCCCTGGTCACCATGCCCAGCCTCCTGCCAGGGGATTTGCCAGGGTCCCTCAAATATGCAGATCTGGGCCTCCTCCCAGAAGCTCTCAGGTTCCTGGAAAGGTGGGAGGGCTCTAGAAGCCCCGATAGAGCCTCCCAGCCTGTCCTTAGTTAACCTCACTCCCCGGACTGACTCAGCCTCTGTCTAAAACCTAACTAACCTGGAGGGTGTTACATCCACAAATAGTAAAAATGTGTATAAAAGGCAAGCTGATTTGTTATCACTACCATGTATTGGCATACAATCAACATCATATTCATGTGATAATACATGTATACTGCAAATTACACTCTTCCAAATTTTTGATGAAACATAATGATGGACACATTCTTTAGCTGAGTTGGGCAAAATGGGCACCCATTTGAGCTAAAGGATGTACCCATTATTTTGTCAAAAATTTGGAAGAGTGTAATTTACAGTATACATGTACTATCCCATGAATATGATGTAGATTGTACGTTGATACACATTAGTGATAACAGATTAGCTTGCCTTTTTACAAATTTTTACTATTTATATACAAGATTTTCTTCTATTTGCCTAATAAATCATTTTACGTAATGTTATGCGTCAGTCCCATGAATAATATTTGTGTTTTTTTGTGTGTATAAAAATAGGAATGGAAGCACAGCACCACTAGGTACTAGATCACAATTTTATTGTAATTTTGTTATTTGTCAATTTTAATATCAGATAAAAATCATCCCATCTACTAGCAATGGTGATTTCAGCCACACACGGTCAGCTGAAATGATTAATGCTGAATATCTAAGGAGATTATAGCACAATATGAGTCGTCATTTGTATTCTGTGGTCATCCTGTGTTTGGAGATAGCACCGTCTCTACACATGGATGACAAAATTGGGGTGTCTACTCCATTATAACATTTTTATTATAAAATTCTATTCACTGGAGTTTTAAAAAGTGATCTAATACAAAGGATTCCAATAAAGAGAAAAGAGTTCCATTCATGTAGAGAATAGTTGCATTCATACCTGGATAGAAATGTATTTTCTTCTGGTAACATTCTTTTCTTCTACAGATTGTATAGCAATCACCTGACAGACAGTTCCTGCCCCCACCTGGCATCTGGAATAAGAAATAACCAGACACTGAGGACACTGAACCTGTCTAAGAACAATCTGGAGGGTCCTCATTTCACGGATCTGATGGCAGCTCTGACTACAAGCCGGATAGAGGAATTACAGTGAGTATATCAGGACTGACTGAAAAAAAATATTCTTGGACAGTTTGCCATCTAAAGCATGCAATGAAAAATAAAATACTATGTAAGAAAACAATTTCCCATAAATAGCCAATCCCAAAATATGCTCATTCCTGACTCTTATAATACTATTTTCAGCTTTGAAATTGTTTTTTTAAACCTTTCTAAAATAGGATTGTCAATTTAGTCTATGTAGACTATTATAAAGGTGAGACTATAGGTGGTTATACAAGGGGGGATGTGATCTTACTGCAATGAGCAATGAGTTTCCTAACACACATGAACATGTGCTATTGTCAGTGGATCTCTTTGTCACTACAAATCAACCAATCGGTTTGATTTACTGATGTGCAATTACTGTACTTCTGCAATCCATCGTCAGTAATTACTCCATTACTTCCTATGAGTGTAGAGATCTTATCAGCAGAGATAAATAGAATATGAGATGAAAATCATCCAGTCCAATCACTAGCAATGTTGATTCCAGCCTCACACTGTCTGCCGACACATTTCATGCTCCATACAGTCATATGAGTCATGTCAGTGGTATTCTGTGGTCATCCTTTGTAGGGAGACATCATCATCATTATTATTACAGGTACTTATACTGTACATTCACATCAATCCCTAACCCTCAAGGGGTGTACAATCTAAAGTCCCTAACTTACATTCATTCATTTACATACTAGGGCCAATTTAGACAGGAGCCAATGGTTAAGTGTACCAGCATGTCTTTGGAGTGTAGCAGGAAACCGGAGTACCCAGAGGAAACCCGCACAGGGAGAACATGCGAACTCCAGACAGGAGGTGCCGTGGTTGGGATTTGAACCAACGACCTTAGTACTGCCAGGTGGAAGTGCCAACCATTTAGCCACTGTGCTACCCACATCATTGTAATGACAGTCATCAGAAGAAAATTAATGAGAGATCATTCTTCTCTTCTACAGATTGAATAATAATTTCCTGACAGACAGTTCCTGCCCCCACCTGGCATTTGGAATAAGACATTCCCAGACACTGAGGACATTGGACCTGTCATACAACAACCTGGAGGGTCCTCATTTCAGTGATCTGATGGCATCTCTGACAGCAAGCCAGATAGAGGAATTACAGTGAGTATAACAGGTCTGACTAAGACAATAACATTTTATATCCAAAATACATAAATCACACACACACACACACACATATATACATTTATATATATATATATATATATATATATATATATATATATATATATATATGTTGTGGTCATACTGGATTCTTTTGTCTCTATATATAGCCAGTCCATTATCAAATTCTTCAGCCCTATCAGCCTTGAATTTGTATTTTTCTAGACGTTGGTTAAAATGTGATATTTTGCTTAATCTAGCAACTAGTAGGAATGAGCTGCTGTTAACTAAGTTGGTGTAGCACATGCTACAAGAGAATAAAAAAATTGCTTAGAGTCCCCCCAAAATGCATACCAGATCCCCTAAATCTGGTACATATTTTAAGAGGGACTACACAAAAAAATGCTTGGAGTCCACAAAAAATATTTACCAGACATTTGATCAGATTATGCAATCCTAGCTAGCCAAAAAAGTGAAGTTGAGCATGCAGCCCTCTTCCTTAACCATACCAGGCTACATGCTATCAAAATGGGGGGCACCTTGTCAGGGGGCTTTATGTTTTTTAATAAAGAATAAACAATTCCAAAAAAAATAGCCTTCATTGTAAATTAATCATCAAGCATGATGCCTGCTTCCCACCAACTCACCTGAAAAAACCTAGATGACAAAGAGCACACAACTAATCCAGACAGAACCCTGAGCCAAACAGCAGCTCCTCTGTTTGTCATCAGCTATGTAAGGGAAGAGACAGGCATGGTGGTGACATCATTCACTTTTTCTGTGAGGCTTCTATGGAACAGGGTAAAAGTTTGGACCCAAAGGTTAGCCCAAGTCAGGATTATTTGCATGCTGTGCCACTTGGGTGCATGGGAGCAAGCACCCTCTGTGAGCTCAGTGCTTTCCCCACTTTGCTTCTGTCACTGCTGATCTTACAATCCTCTTTCAGCAGTTGATGTAAGCATTACCTTACTGTAATGATCCCCACTGCCTGGATCTCTGGTGGTCTTACAGTCCCACCCTCCATTCTTAAGCATCTAATACCATTATTCTTTCCATTCTGTGCCACTGATGTTCAAGGGTTGTGGATATTCACTGTGTATGCTGGACGAGCAACTGCAGAAAATTAGGTGTTCTTCCTGCAAGCTAGCTCAGCAGAGTGGAGGTCTTCTCAGTGCTGTTTATTTTATATGGTGTTAGGAATGTACCTGTAGGGAGGAGACCAGTGGCAAAAAATCTTCAAGCTAAGTACAGTTCTTAATGAAAGAGAAAGCTAGTAGTCCAAATCGCAATGCACAGAATCAGCGGTGGGTTCACAAACCAGGGTCTGTTCAGGTGGCAGAGAATTGGCACTGAGGTCACAAGCTGGAGTTGGGGCAAGAAGCAGAGAATAAGCATTGGGTCCACAAGCCAAGGTTATATATAAGTAGCAATATAGGTTTCGTAATACAACCGGCAGGATTATGTGTGTAACACAATGATTAGACAAATGACATAAATAGTTGGCCAATTACACTGATTGGTCACATGACCAGAGGCAGCTGAGACTCATTGCTTATCAAGAAACCTTTTATGGAAATTGTTGATTAAATTGGGACAATGCAAATTTTCCTCTGGTTCCCACAAATCCTCTTCTGGACAAAAAAAATGAAATATTAGTACAAGGGACATAACTTACAGCTAGTAGGATGTGCCTCTTGTGCTGATAGTATAGCTTCTATGAATGAAAACAGGTTCCAAGAATGGAGAACATGTGCATAACTGATAGCCACACCCACTCCATTCATATTACGAATTGAGCCACTGGATGAAAGAAGCAGATATAGTCACACTCTCTTGATGAGAGCCTGTGAAAACCCATTAGCTCTATTTAGGGACAGGCTTGATGTTCGAGTCGAGCATACGTTTGACTCGAACATTGGCTGTTTGTGTGTTTGGCAAACACGTGAATGGTATGGGCTTTCAGTGAGCTATTCTCCTGCCGCACCCCACAATGCGCTGAGCTCTTACAGTGCATTGTGATTGGCCAAAGCAAAGCACCTGATCGTAGGTCAGGTGCAATGCTTTGGCCAATCACAGCACAATTGGGTGGAGCGTGTGGTGATGTCTCTGCTAGCTCCGCCCAATTGTTTACATCTGACCAGCAAATTTCAGATTGCGGTGAGTGCTTTGGTGAGTCAGTGGCATTGTGACAACGCTGGATACCGTGCTTGACGATGGATTACATTTTTTTTTTTTAATCAAAAAAACTGTTGTTTTGTTTTTTGTTCAATAAAGGAATTTTGCTAAAGTCTGGTGTCTTTATTTTTTACTGAGTTTAACACTTTAGTGAATGGGTAGGGGTACAAGTACCCCCTACTCATTCACAAATGAGGGGGGCAGCATCATGGTGCCCCCTTATTTAAAGAGGTACCCTGATGCTAATGATCTCCCCTGCCCACAGACCCCCACAACCACTGTGCAGGGTTGTGGGGAAGAGGCCCTTGTTTTCATCGGCATGGGGTCACCATCCCCATGCAGAGGGCACATTTCCTGGTAAGCCGCCAGAAGGGGGGGGGCTCGTTCATCCCCCCTTTCCTGCCGTGCCAGGCCTCTGCTCGTATCAAGGGTCTAGTAAGAATTTGTTTTTTTTTTTTAGTTTAAGCATTGAAAAATGACTGCCCCTTTACAAAATTGTATCTTTTTAATTTTTTTTCACTGATTCATGTCCCTCATAATCCTTTTATGTCCAATAACTTGTATATAAGCCTTCAAAATAGTCTGTTTTGAATGTACAAGCTCGAGTCCCATAGACTTGCATTGAGTTCGTAGTTCATGGTCAAACATTCATTAGCTTTGAATGTTCAACCACGAACTGAACACGGGAGTGTTCAGCCCATCTGTCAGGAATCCAACCGCGGTAGCCTCTAGCACTCCACAGACCGGAATCCCCCAAGGTGCAGAATCTAAGCTCCGACCTGCTTGTTCACCAGAGCCCCTGATGGTGGGGATGGACTTGGAGCAGGCTGAGACCAGGTCGCGGCCCCTGGGTTCACCCAGCTGTGGTAGAGGCACCATTGAAGGTGTATAGTGGTTTAGAGTCTGATGTGAGGAGGTAACTGAAGCAGCGTCGGGCAGGCTGGGTCGGTAACAGTGGTGGCGGTATAGTACAGAATCAGCAGGCAGAGGGATAAACAGGTCACAAGCCGGGTTCGTCAACAGGAGGTCAGAACGTATGGGGTTAAGCAGGAGAATGGTCAGACAAAGCCAGGGATCAGAGCAGGAGACGGACAGCAAATCAGGATCAGGCAGGGTCGGCAACAAACAAACAATCTACTCACAGGAACACAGATAACCATACGGCACTTGAGCATTGCAAGAGCCGGGTTTAAATAGCCCGCCTTACTCCTGACAGGCGCTCCTGGGTCCTAGTGCTTGCCCGGCGCTGTCATTGGTGACAGGCGTGCCTGGGTCCTAGTGCCCGCCTGCCTGTACGTTTTGTCAGGATTCTACGCATGTGCAGATTCGATCGCCGCGGCGATCTTCCCATTCCCTGACACCATCATTAGTTCTATTAATCTCCACTGCATTGGAAGATTACAGTGGGAAGGGTAGGACCATGGATGCAGTAAGGGGATTTCAACTAACTAGAAGAGGAAACAGCACAAGGGAAAATTCCTACTGACTGTAAGTTGTGTCCCTTGTGCTGATTTTTATTTTACCTACGCTCACATTTTAAGGATTTTCTCCACAATGAGATCTTCCTTAGTTTGTACTTGGTTTGGTGGGGAGAGTGTATATCCTGGAAAAGTATTATTTCTAAAAGGTTTTAAAAAGGCCACATGTAAAACAGGATTAATTTTCACTGAAGGTGAAATTTAAGTTTTACACCACAGGGTTAATTTGGGAAAATTACCTCAGAAGAGCTTATGAATTAAGGGCCACATTTTGGAGAAGGTAGATTAGGATGTAAATGTTTGTAGATAACCAGACATTATCATCTACCTAATAAGAAGGAATGGTTTATCTGTGCCTGTCTATAGTCTTACAGAATTCCTGAGCTGTTAAGGTCTTTTAGTAATTCTTGGTTCTTTTGTAAAGCAGACAATCTTGCATTTAAAGGTAGCAGAGATTGAGCTACTGGAGGTCAGGAATAAACAATGTATGAAACTCATAAAATTAATAAAATGGGCTCTAAGAAATAGAACTATGACAGGAATTATTGTATGCAAATTCTGATAGTAGGTATTCAGCCCAGTCATCCCGGAGATATTTTTTATTGAAAAAGTGCATAATAATACAAAAGAAAAGCAAATGATGGTCATTTACAACATTTGGCAGTGCATGTCAGGAGAAAGTAGGAATATTCTTACAAAGAACCACATAAGGAGCATGGATGTGCCAGTCCACGACGGGGTAAGTCTGTAATACTCAGGCAGTCTAGTAGGGTGCATTGGAATGTTATTGCATCGGACCTTCTTAGTATGTAATTCTCATTATAGCCCCGCAGAAGGAGGCAGGGTAGATGCAGCACAACCGTTGAGGATGAAGCTAGTGTTTTACTGGAGTGGTGGTACCTGTAAGTAAGCTTAGATTGTCGTGAGGGTCGCTAATGTAAGCAAGGTAAATATGACAATGGCATGCCTAATGTTCTCTAAAGAGGAACCCAGTGGTTAACTGGGCGAGTAACAAGAAGGTAAGAAGAAAGAAAAGAGAACAAGAAAAGATAAAAGATAGAAAAAAAAAAAAAAAAAAAAAAAAAAAAAAAAAAAAAAACAAAAAAAAAAAACGGGGGGGGTGAGCTGGGTTTGTATTGTCGTCAGCACACAAAGGTCTTTTATGGGTGGATTTCAGCAAAAGTCTATTAACCGGGGTCGGTAGGTGGTGGGGATAGAGCCCTGAAAGTGGGGAAGTCGCCTACCGTATGCTCTAGAGTGTGGAGTAACATACAATGGAGATTAGTAATCAATCAGGCGTGTTGGTTGGACGGTTCATAAAGGACCGGTACGTAGAAGTAGTTT